AATTTAATTACATATCTGATTTTTGATAAAATCAATCATGAACTTTACCTTAGTCCACAGCATGCAGGCACTGATTAACAGTAACCACCGCCATACCGGGGAATCCTCAATTTTCCATCCCCGCCTCGTTGAAAAAATCCAATTATTCTTACATTTACCCTCCATTTTCATAAACCCTAAACCCTAACACCAAAAATCCCACATTAGATAACTGAAAAAAATCCCCAAATATAGCTGATAACTGAAATATTACCCCTGTTCTTAATGGCGACAGGCGTTCTCCTCAGATCTCTTCGTCGCCGTGAGTTTTCTTCTGCTCCAATTTCCGCGTACAAAACTGTACGTTTATATCTTCACATTTTTTTCGTAATTAATTATTATTTCAATCCTCGTATTTAATCTATTAATATTTTTTCTTTTAAATTTTTGTCTAATTGATACTGATGTAGTGTTTAGGTTTAGTTTGTCATCCTGAAGGTTACTGTGCTATCAGCTATGTACTCCTTTTGTTTCTGTTACTAGAATTGTACTTGTTAAAATATTTTGCTTTCTTTGGGCTCCTTTGGATTAATTTCTTTCAATAGTGATCATCTTAAGCAGGTCGAGGAAAAAAACACTTGTTTTGTGTTTTATATACATTATGGGTTTATTTGAGCACTTACTTATGAAACAATGGTATTTTTGTTTTACGTATATGTTTTTTTGCTCCCAATCCCGGTAATTGCTCTATGTATATGTGATTTTTAATTTTTGAAATTTAAGTTTGATTCTTACCATTTCAGTATTATTTGGAGATTGTCTATTTCAGTATTATTTGGAGAGAGAGACACTCCTGAGAGGTGCAACCCCACTATTACCTTTTCCACAATCACTGTGATAGAGGAAGAACATCACAATCTTCACCCTTTCCACCGAGAGACGAATTCACTCATGTTCTTAAGAATCAAATATGTTAGATCTCAGATGTCGCTCGCTAAACTATAAAGGTCACAATTGCTGTATTTAAATTTTATGTCACACATGTTATGAAGCCACAATCTCGCAAGTCACTTGAACGTAGTCGCATCAATACCAAGGTCACAATCTCGCATGTTGTGTAGATCACAATTGATGCAGTTTTGCTAACAATATAAATGATACAGACATATATTTATGAATTCCAAATGCCTCCCTATTGCGACACAAATAACTCCTGGTGTACCGGGTAGAACAGTCACCTGAGGTGGGCCCCATGTGAGTAAAAATTGCAAAAAACGCCCACCCCATGTGAGTGTTGTGGAATTGTTCTGTGAACAATTAGTCCGTACACACAGACTAATTCATTGCTACATGCTAAATGGTGGTTGTGACAATATTGTAAATCGTAGAATGATGATTGTGACCAGAAAACACGTGGAAGAAATTATGATATTCATTTCTTATTCTCAGAAATGTTAAATGAGATAGACACTGACAGTAGATTGATTTGTAGAAAAGAAATGTGATTATAGAGGGAAAAAAATCATTATCATTTAATAACCATCAAATGAGGTCACATTTTTATCTCATATAAATCAATTATTAACTATATCTATTTTCATATAATAAATTGAATTATGACCCGAAATATGAAAAGTTTGTTAAATTTGATATTTCTGAAAATGTAATATCAAAATATGGTAGTTATGATTTTTCCCCTTATTTATTTTACCTTTGTTTAATTCCCAGTATGATTTTTGTTTATCTGCAAAACTTAGTTCCAGACTGTACTGAGCCAAAATTTATTTTTCCCCTCGTTGGCTTCCATTTTTTTTTTCCTGTTTTTCTGTGTGGGGCCAAATGCTTCACATAGCAATATTTTCCGTTGAAAGTGATTGGATAAGGTACCAAGGGACTAGGATGCCACTACTTTTAACATTTGGATTCTAGTTTGCTAGTCCTTGAATTTAGGTAAGTTTGGAAGGCAGCATTAGCATAAGTATCTCTACATTTGTTGAAGCTCATTTGTCCTATACAAGTTGTTAGCTGATGTCATGACTCTTTGTACATCTGGGTCCTGTCTTGTTGCACTTTTAGTAGATTTTAGGACTTGTTTTGCCATGGCAATGCTGAGTGTTTCACATTGTATTTATTGTTCAGTTGACTGGAAATGCCAAGCCATCATGGTTATTTGGCAACAAATGGTCGGGTCTTGCTAGGCCATTCAGGTACATTTGATATTTCATTCATTGTCTCATGTATTTTATTTGCTTGTTGGTCAAGTAATTGTTCCCTTCAGTTCCCAACAATCACTTTTGATCTTGATCCAGCACAAAATCAGCGGGGAATGATGTTATTGGTATTGACTTGGGTACCACAAACTCTTGCGTTGCTGTCATGGAGGGCAAGGTAAAAACATTTTGGCCCCGTTTGGTACACATTAATGTAAAAATGAGAATAAAAAATATAGCCGTTACGGGTCCCACACGAAATATAGAAAGTCAAATATGGTGGCTTGATGTAATGGATAACGGTCATATTTTTCATTTTAATGGATAAATAATGGAAAACAAACGGGGGCTTTATTTGACTTGAAGATTCAGCTTTTGTTTTTTAATATTTGTGTCCTCTTGTTAACAATCACATTCTTCTTGCAGAACCCCAAAGTTATAGAGAACTCTGAGGGTGCACGGACCACTCCCTCAGTGGTTGCTTTTAACCAAAAAGGAGAGCTGCTTGTTGGTACACCAGCTAAACGTCAGGCTGTCACCAATCCAACAAACACCGTCTTTGGAACCAAGCGCCTGATTGGTAGACGTTTTGACGATCCGCAGACACAAAAAGAGATGAAGATGGTCCCATATAAAATAGTCAGGGCCTCTAATGGAGATGCATGGGTTGAAGCCAATGGACAGCAGTACTCACCCAGCCAAATAGGAGCTTTTATTCTGACTAAGATGAAGGAAACGGCTGAGGCTTACCTAGGAAAGTCTGTAAACAAGGCGGTGATAACGGTTCCAGCTTATTTTAATGATGCTCAAAGGCAGGCAACGAAGGATGCTGGGAGAATTGCAGCTCTTGATGTGGAAAGGATAATTAATGAGCCAACTGCTGCTGCCCTGTCCTATGGTATGAACAACAAAGAGGGTCTTGTTGCTGTTTTTGATCTAGGTGGTGGAACTTTTGATATTTCCATATTGGAGATATCAAATGGTGTTTTTGAGGTATGTAAAGTTTGTGTTCAAGTTTCTCTGGTCTTTGTTTTGATGTTTATTTTTCAAATTTGTGTGCTGATTTAATCATTTTTCATTAGGTTAAAGCTACAAATGGTGACACTTTTTTGGGAGGAGAGGACTTTGACAATACGCTGTTGGAATTTTTGGTGGGTGAGTTCAAGAGAACCGAGGGAATTGATCTGTCAAAGGACAAGCTTGCTCTGCAGAGACTTCGAGAAGCTGCCGAGAAGGCCAAGATAGAGCTTTCTTCGACATCTCAGACTGAAATCAACTTGCCTTTCATAACTGCCGATGCATCTGGGGCAAAGCATTTGAATATAACATTGACCAGATCAAAGTTTGAGACTTTGGTGAACCACCTGATTGAGAGAACTAGGACTCCTTGCAAAAGTTGTTTAAAAGACGCCGGCATTTCAACTAAAGAAGTGAATGAAGTCCTCCTTGTTGGAGGGATGACCCGTGTCCCTAAGGTTCAGGAAGTTGTTGCTGAAATCTTTGGCAAGTCCCCAAGCAAAGGGGTGAATCCTGACGAGGCTGTTGCCATGGGTGCTGCTATTCAGGGTGGCATCCTCCGTGGTGATGTTAAAGAGTTACTTCTCCTGGATGTGACCCCCTTATCGCTTGGTATTGAGACTCTGGGAGGTATCTTTACCAGATTGATCAATAGAAATACCACCATTCCTACGAAAAAGAGTCAGGTTAGGACTTGGAGCTTCTTTTTCACGTGGTTTTCCTTGATTATGTGCATTTGTTTGGTAGACAGTGGTTTAATATATGTAATATTTCTGTTGGGAGGTATTGATTTCATTGTTCATCCCCTTGTTTGTCTTTACAGTCTTAAAGCTATTGTATACAGATGAAATACTCTCCTCTTCATTTTTAGCTTGTAGGAGTTCGATTTTTGGGCCATCAGGTTTTTCATCTTTTTTCGTTCTAAAAGATTTAGCAACATCGATGAACATGTTGACAAAACTCTTTCTATGCTTCTCTCGTGCGAATACTCGTCTGTGCATGCTGTCAATGTCTCTACCCTTATCTTCCCATCCCCGGTAGCTAGTTTTGAACCCTACATTCCTCTACCCCTTCTCACCCCATCCACGTCGTAGGCAACCACACCTTAGTGATGTGTTTCTTGTTTCCTTCTGCAAAATTTTCCTCCACCCATTGTCAGATTATTTATGTTAGTCTCTTCCAGCAGAGAACACAAGATACTGTGCCAGGCTCCATGCTGTGGAGATAGGATATTCGTACGTTGTCTTACATTTTTGCCTATAGCCTTCTGTAGATCCTGGACTATATGTGGAGTACACATTGACGAAATAAAGAATTTTAAAGATTTGTAAGTGTTTAATTTGTAGTACTTAAAGCAGAAGGTTTGCAGTTAGTGTAGACCGAAGTGGGAGCTTGATGACATTTGGTCTTCTGTACAAAAACAGAAACAGAATTTTCTTTTCTTACCAAACATGTTTGTATTTGTACTTTTACTGAACAAATGACGAGTTGTTATTGTGGAAATAAAAAAAAAAAGTTGGTAAGCTACTGAGATTGTTTTCGTTTTTAGACATTTTCAACAGCTGCAGACAACCAAACTCAAGTGGGTATCAAAGTATTGCAAGGAGAGCGTGAAATGGCTTCCGACAACAAGCTTTTGGGTGAGTTTGAACTTGTGGATATTCCTCCTGCTCCAAGGGGCATGCCTCAGATAGAAGTTACATTCGACATTGATGCCAATGGAATTGTAACTGTATCTGCGAAGGACAAGACTACTGGGAAAGAGCAGCAAATCACTATCCGATCATCCGGTGGCTTATCGGAAAACGAGATTGAAAAAATGGTTAAGGACGCTGAGATGCATTTACAGAAAGATCAAGAAAGGAAGGCTTTAATTGATCTCAGAAATAATGCGGACACCACAATTTACAGTATAGAGAAGAGCCTAAACGAGTATAGGGACAAGGTTCCAAGTGGAGTTGTCTCTGAGATTGAGTCTGCTATTTCAGATTTAAGGAACGCAATGGCAACTGATAATGCTGATGAGATAAAGGCGAAGCTTGATTCAGCAAACAAGGCTGTATCTAAGATTGGACAGCACATGTCTGGTGGTGGTTCCTCCTCGACCGGAGGTTCTCAGGGAGGCGACCAGGCCCCCGAGGCAGAGTATGAGGAGGTAAAGAAGTAGAATATGGTAATAGTATATAGGAATTTGTGTCCGAAACTTCTCAGGAACTTGACTGTATTGGAAGGTTCCTGGTTTGGCAATTGCACTTGCAGAAACTTCTGAAACCCTTATTTGTATATCTGAGTAACATGTTTGATGGAATAATGTCAGAATTAAAAAGCAAAATAATATTTTTTAGAATACATTATCATGTGAATATGAAGTTAAAAATGATCATATAGTAAACCATAAAATAAATTCATGAATATCAAACAAGCACTAATATGCACATCTAGTGATGGCAACGGGGCGGGACGAGGCAATTTTCTTGCCCTCGTTTAATTTTTTTTTTAATTTCGAGTTTAATAAAATACGGATAACATTCAAGTTGAACTTTTAATAAAGAATGTTCTTACTTTATGTAAATTTAAGTTTTGTTTTGGATTAAAATTATTTATAGTGTAAAATGATTTTTAGAGAATGTGTGAATAAAAAGTATGAAAAAATTATAGGTCTACATGTAAATTATGTTATTAAAAAAATTGTTATAGAAAATAAGTTTAAATAAAAAGCGATTTTGAAATATATTGCATAGATGAACTCTATATATATTTTAAGAAAAAAAAAATCACGTAGCGGGGTGGCACCGGAACAGGGTAAATTGTCATCACTATGAAAGACTAAGGAGTACTGGTGATTTGAATGATATTAATTAAAGCTATCTAAATGATACGTAAGCAGTGATGATGAATAGCATTATTTGGTTGGAAATGGTGTGTGACATGCAGTCTTTTGCTTTGTCACTATTTGAGGAAAAATTGGTAGAGGTTGTCGATGATAAAATCACAAAAATAATGAAGAGGCGAGAAGATTTAAAATAAAGAATTAGGAATATTATGCTAATCAATTATGGTTGAGAAACTTGAAAAGGAACCTTTTGTGTTGTGCCTGACTCGAGCATGAGTTAAGATTGGTTAAGGATTGTTGTTTCCATTACTCAAAGGTAATGTTTCAAGGATATCGTCCATCTCCTAACGTGCGTGCGCACACGCACACACACGTATATATAAACCATCGTTTCTAGATGAGTATAATTTCAACATAATAACAATATTACATGACATTTCCATTATCTATCAAGAAATTATTTTTCTATAGCTACCTAATCTCGACCATAATTAATAAAGATTATTTTATATTTTGATCTCAAGTTATGTTGCTCAACTTAATCAAGAGGCCATGAGTGAAATTGTGTTGTGACAAATTAAAAATAGTTTCACTTCATCACAAAAGTGTAACCTTAGTCTTTTTAGCATATAGAATAGAAATATTGAAATTTGCAAAAGGGGAAATTATATTCACATAACTGCATTTATTAATTGCATCGTAGTTTTAGTACTATATAAGTCCATGTCCGGCAATCATTATAGAAAACTCTTTTTCTACCTACTTATTTTTAATCACATACACATAATAAAATATTTTTCAAGTAAAATCAAAATTTTTTCCAACTTTTTTAATCACACATTTTTTTAAATATCACTATTCAAAACATTATTTTTCTCAATTAATGGCTAAAGTCCTCAGCCTTTTACAACTAAGTCCCTGTTTTGTGGGGGTTTAATATTTAAATTTTAATTTAAGTCAAAGTTAACAATTAATTTTAATCACATATATCATGAAATTCACATGCTTTTAATTAGGCTCACATTTGAGTTCCATTTTTATTAAAACTTATTTTTAACTATACACTCCTATACAATAATTTCACACATAAATTAAAAAAAAATCTTAGAGTGTGTTTGATTGACATGGAAAATATCATCTAGAAAAGAAAATGTTTTCCATCTTTTGTGGAAAATAAAAATCACCTCTACCCAAGGAAAATATTTTCCTTAAAAACAATAAAAATTAGGCATATTTTCATAAGTTGGAAAATGTTTTCCATGGAAAAAAATAGCAATCAAACACTTCAAATAGGAATTTGGGTGGAAAACTGATATTTTCCATGGAAAATAAATGTAATCAAACACACCTTTATTTTTTAACCATATTTTCCAAAGAGATTACTATTCCGAAACAGGGACTCACTTTTATTAAAATTTACTAAAAATATAATTTTAATCCGGGTAATTAGCACAAAATGTCCCTACCTTTCGATATTTTTGTGGAAAACGTCCCTATCTTTCGTTTTTTGGCGGATTACACCCTCATCTTTACCTTTTTTTTTGCGCAAAACGTCATTCTGTCAACTCCCCGTTAAAATGTTCCGTTAAATCAAAAAGTAATTAGCACAAAAGGTCCCTACCTTTCAATATTATTGTGAAAAAGTCCTTATCTTTCATTTTTTGGCATAATTAGCACAAAAGGTCCCTATCTTTCAATGTTATTGTGCAAAACGTCCTTACCTTTAATTTTTTAGCATTTTCACCCCTACTTTTCACCTTTCATTGCGAAAAAGGTCATTCTCCTCCATTTTTTCAATAAAATGACGATTTTACCCTCCTATTCAAATAAAATAAAAAGAAAAGATGAATAACCAACTGCAACCATAGTCCTTAAATTTTTAAAAAATTACAAAGAAATCATAAATTCCCGACCAACACCACTTTCACAACCTATCAAGTTGCCAACTATAAATCAACATAATACCACCTTTCTGCCACCATTCCCACCAGACTCTGCCACCGTAAATGTGGTTGTTTTGGACAGATTGGTGACCAATACTATGAGGAGGATACTGGGAAGAGTGAGACGAGGCTGGTGGTGGTGGAGTCCGATAGGTATTGTGGCCAAAAGGTAGTGCTATATGGATCTATAGGTAGTGGCTTGGTGGGGTTATGAAAGTGGCGGTAGTGGAAAATTTAGAATTTATCTGTAATGTTTTGAAAGATTTAGGACTATGATTACAATTAATTATTTATTTTTCTTTTCTTTTCTTTTTGTTTTATTTGAATAGGAGGGCAAAATCGTCATTTTATTGAAAAAAATGGATGAAAATGACCTTTTTCGCAATGAAAGGTGAAAGGTAGGGGTGAAAATGCTAAAAAATGAAAGGTATGGACGTTTTACACAATAACATTGAAAGGTAGGGACCTTTTGTGCTAATTATGCCAAAAAATGAAAGGTATGGACGTTTTTCACAATAATATTGAAAGGTAGGGACCTTTTGTGTTAATTACCTTTTGATTTAACGGAACATTTTAACGGAGAGTTGATAGGAGGACGTTTTGCGCAAAAAAAAAGGTAAAGGTGAGGGTGTAATCCGCCAAAAAACGAAAAGTAGGGACATTTTTCACAAAAACATCGAAAAGGAACGTTTTGTGCTAATTACCCTTTTAATCCTCACCAAATAAGAGTAAAATATTCATTTTAAGTCCAGAACTTATAAGAGTCGTAATTCGTTAAGTGAATTATTTTGGTGTCATTTTTATCAGTTTTCTTAAGACGCAGCAGTTTGTCTATTCTTCTCTCATGCCCTAATGCTATTCCTATTATTTTTCACTAGTGACATAAAAAACCCTAGATTTTGTATTTTCCCCTTTTCAGAATTTGTTTCTCATCTCCATATCCAAAGCCTCTGGTACGTTTTTTGTTTACATACATCCGCCTGATATTCATAAATTATTTGATTTTGAATTAATCTAAATTAGTTGATAGTTTCATAATGTCTGTGTTCATAACTTTGCAGATAATTACTGTTTTGCTTTAATGGGGATCAAAAAAAGAGTTTCCGATTCCATTGAAGAAGCAGAAACAGTAGCAGAGAAAGAATTGAGTTCGAAGAATGCAGATGCTAATCCCGAACTCTCTAAAAAGAAATTGAAAAAGGAGAAAAAGAGAAAAGAAACTGAAACTGAAACTGAAACACGTGAAGACGAGGACCAAATTGGAGTGAATGCGCAATCAACCCCCTCAATTACAAATAAGCCTTCTGTAAATTCAATGGAAAGAAAAAAGAAAAGGAAGTCGTTAGACAAAGAAAGACACCATGGCTCCCCTAGAAATATGGTTTTAGAATTAGAAAATAATAGAAACGAGAGTATAACTCATAGTCGTCGTGGTGGTGTGTTGCCTGAGTTCCACATTGGGGTGTTTAAGGACCTTTCGGCAGCTGACGCAAGTGTCAGGGAAACGGCGGCTGAGGCCTTAGTTTCAGAGTTGATGGAAGTTCAGAAAGCTTATGATATGTTGGAGGATAAGCAAGTAGTGGAGGACGCTCTGAAATTGGAAGCTGAGAAGGATGATGGGTTGAATAATTGCGCCCCGTCCTTGAGGTATGCTGTTCGGAGACTCATTCGTGGAGTTTCCTCATCAAGAGAGGTGGTTGTTTTTTTCTTTTCTTTTTCATTTTTCATTCTTTCTTTTTTTTTTTTCCCTCAAGTTGTTTCTTTTCAGCCTTCTCTTCAACTGTTATGGTTTTGTATGTAGGAAGATCTTGTGCATAGTTAAATGAAACATAGTTTCCCTTACAATGTTATATAAGCACTCCTTGTTTACAAGATTCTGTCATTTTTATTTATTTATTTATTTTTTTCTATCTTATAAAAGTTCAACCTGCTAGTTAGTGGAATCAACATTCTTTGTAGGGGAAAATAATTGGATCTTGTGTTGTTTCTAATGTTGATATTATTATCTGTTTGAATATTAACTTATTGAAGGAACTATCACCAATTTTCTAAGAAATAGAAAAATCATACACACTTTTTTGCTTGTATAACTAGTAACTGTCCTTTTTTCTACTTTTTATTGGTATTTCATAATGGCCCATTGGTTCTTACACTAAATATTTTCCAGACCTTACTATCAGATTGTCCATTGAATTTCATGACATTTGTTTTGCAGATACTGATAAGTCAGAAGTTAAAATTTTGGCTCTTGTTTATGGTGGCCTCTTAGTTTTTTCCCTTTCTGTGGAGTTGCTTGCGGACAAAATTTTTAATAGCTTTCTATTTTATGCAAATACTTAAGAGGCATATACACGTGTTTTATATGGCTCTACACAGTTATAATTGATTCAATCCCAATCTAAAGTATGCTCACGGAGGAAGTTTTAGATAATTTATCTCATTTAAAAAGATGACCTAAGATGTCTCTAACTATATTAATGACGTGGGGCGTTCCTTGGATGTGGGGGTGCAATTTTTTATTGTAGAAAATGTGCGGAAATTTGTCTAATTATCTACTACTGACATTTCTGCAAAACTTATGGCCTAAATGTGATTTTTCTCCTCTTCTTTCTTTTGCAGTGTGCAAGACAAGGATTTGCATTGGGTCTTACAATTTTAGTAGGCACAGTTTCTTGTATCAAAGTGGAGTCCTTATTAAAGCTAATAATTAATTTATTGGAGGTCTCCTCTTCAATGAAGGGTCAGGTGGGTATTTTTGTTTGATTATGTTGAAGGATTTAATTCTATTGCCATTTTCTCTATGTAAAAATTTTATCTGGTTTTGTAGGAAGCAAGAGACTGCCTGTTGGGACGCTTGTTTGCATATGGGGCTCTGGCAAGATCTGGAAGACTGACTGAAAAATGGATGGCAGATAGAAACACTCCTTATGTTAGAGAATTTACTAGTTGTCTTATATCTCTTGCAGCTAAGAAGCGATACTTACAAGAGTCTGCTGTCTTAGTTATTATGGAAATGGTTGAGAAGGTAATCTTATCTTTAAGGAAGGCTCATGGGTCATTGTTGTTGGGGTATGGTAGAGGCATTGCCATTGCCATTCCCTTGACTTTGATTTTTCCTTTTCTGTAGTAATAACTGATACCATGATTTGTCATAGAAGTTATGTCCAACGATTTTGCCTGCTCGTAATGATGTGCTCCTTAGATTGTTAAGATTTATTGTTTGAAATGTTTAAAAAGAAACTCATGGTGGACAGTTGTAGGAATGATATTCTTCCATGTTATAACTTCTTAAGCCATTGTAGAATATGCAACGAATTGCTTTTTCCCGAAATGTAAGTTCATTGACAACTTATCTCGGTCAGAAGTTAATCAGAAAAGAGATTTGCATTTTTCTTTTTTTCTTTTTTTAAATAGTAAGTAGAATTGTGGAGATGTTCCTTGATTTCGTTACCCATGTTTCATGTTGTTCTATCACTCTGTGTCAGCATTGTGGTAGTACTGTATGGATTTTTCTGGACATTAGTGATTACAGTTATATTATAAACATGCATGCATAAAAACAGGTGTGTTCGCATAAATATAATTGATGAAAAACCGGAGAATTTAAATTATTACTTCCATGGTTTTCTACATTCTGTAGTTTATTTCAACGTTCAGTGTTGTCACTTAAGTTTTTGTTGTTGTTCCTTCTCCGTAACTTGAAGGTTCTGTTACCATTCATCTAGAACATTGATGTTTGAAATGGTGTCTCAGTTACCCGTTGAAGCCCTGTTGAATCATGTTCTTGAAGCACCAGGAGTTCAGGAGTGGTTTGAAGGAGCAACTGAAGTTGGAAATCCTGATGCTTTGCTTCTAGCTATTAAAATACAAGAAAAAATTGGTGCCAATGCTAAAGCATTTTCCAAGCTTTTGCCTTCTCCATATAATCAAAGCAAGCTTTTCTCTGCTGATCATATGTCTGCCATTTCTAATTGCTTAAAGGTGATATTCATATATATTTTTTTCAGCTATTACCTTAAGAAGGGGAGAATCTTGATATGTATATATAATCGATCTATTTTTTTTATAAATATTATAGGAGTCCACCTTTTGTTTGCCTCGGGTTCATAGTGTCTGGCCTGTTTTGGTAAATATTCTCCTCCCCGACTCTGTTGTGCAAGATGTAAATTTTGCGTTGGGTCCAAGTACCACTAAGAAGCACAAAAGAGGCCGCAAGGGTAGTTCACTTGAAGATATCGAGAAAAATCTGAAATGCTTTTTTGAAGTTGTTATTGAAGGATCACTCTTGACGTCCTCTCATGATCGGAAGAACTTAGCTTTTGATATTATGTTGCTTCTACTGCCTAAGCTACCTGCATCTTGTGTGCATGTGGTATTGTCCTATAAAATTGTCCAGTGTCTTATGGATGTACTTGCTACAAAAGATTCATGGCTTTACAAAGTTGCACTACATTTTATTAAAGAACTGTCTGACTGGGTCCAGCATGATGATGCCAGGAGAGTTGCAGTTATTCTGGCTCTCCAGAAAAACACCAACGGAAAATTCGATTGCATCACCAGGTCAAAAACAGTTAAAGATCTGATGTCAGAATTGAAGTTGGGATGCGATCTGTTCATTGAAAATTTGATTACTATGTTTCTGGAAGGTCATACTTCTGAGGAACCATCAGACCAGAGTCAAACAGCAGATGACAATTCGGAGATGGGTTCCATAGAAGATATGGATTCTGTTGGAAATATAGGAAGTCCTGATTTTCTCAGAACCTGGGTTGTTGAATCTCTTCCTAGTGTGCTGAAGCAATCAAAGCTAGATCCGGATGCAAGGTTCCATGAGCAAAAGAAAATATTGAATTTCCTGTCTGTTCAAGGATTATTCTCTTCAGCTATTGGGACAGAAGTGACGTCTTTCGAATTACAGGATAAGCTTAGGTGGCCAAGGTCATCAATTTCTAGTGCTTTATGCACTGTATGCATTGAACAGCTACAATTATTGCTTGCAGATGCTCAGAAAGGGGAACACCTACAATTATTACTTCCAGATGCTCAAGAGGGGGGAACACCTCATGTGGGGGCATTTGGTCCTGAGACAAATGATCTTGGATCTTACTTTAGGAGGTTTCTGAGTATATTATGCAACATCCCTTCAGTTTCATTGTCAAGGGCCTTGAGCACTGATGATGATGAAGCATTCAAAAATCTTCAAAAAGAGTTATTGAAACTGGAAGTGAAGCAGAGTCAGTTATCGAGAGAGGTATTCCATGCTTTTGATATTTCTTACAGTAAAGAGTAGCTCTACATCATTCTTCACAATCTTTTAATAATTTTTTCGTCATTCATTTTATTGAATTAGCCTTCATGTTAGGAAGGGAGGGGTGCTATTATGATCTTTCTTGTGGTGTGTAGAAAAAGGTTCTCTTATATTGATTGTGATGCATGACATTGCAATCCAGAATGACTTTCAAATAAATCCTCATTTTGTTTTATTAATAATGATATATGGATGAATAAATAACTATTTCATAAACCTTTGATGTCTTCAGGACAGAAATCTTAATCTTTGCATGGACGTGAGTAAAATTCATGCCATGAGATATTTGCTAATCCAACTGCTGCTTCAAATCCTAGTCCGACCTGGGGAATTCTCTGAAGCTGCTTCTGAACTTATTATGTGCTGCAAGAAGGCTTTTGGACCCTCTGATCTTCTGAAATCGTCTGGTGAAGATGGTACACCCGAATTGATGGATGTTCTGGTAGACACAATGCTTTCCCTGCTTCCACAGTCATCAGCTCCTATGCGGTCTGCTATCGAGCAGGTACGTGACAGAACACTGCGTGTGGTTACCCAGGGCTTGACTGATTATTTAGATGAATATTTTCCACCTCCCCTCCCCCTCCCTTCCCTTCCCTCATCTTTAGAAAACCTTTTGATTCTGTAAAAACTGTTATTAGTTAAATTTCTGTTTATATTGCTTTACAAGGGTGAGCAGGTTTTCAGTTATTTTGTTATGTTAAAATCCTCAATAATAGTTAACGTATTGCCTCCCAACGTCTTTGTTGAATTCCCACCCTTGTGAAATTGAATTCTTAATTAAGATAACGGGAGAGTTGCTTATTGCTAAAGATTGTTGTAACTTGTAAGGTACTTTTCATATTTCTTCCAGCTCATGAGAAACTTCACGAATATAACTGAGTTTCGAAGCATTGATGATATCAATATTTTTCTTATCATACATGTGAATTGCTATAAGTGAACCGCGTTAGCATAATGATGAACCAATATTGTCTTAAAGATGATTTGTCCCATAATTAACAGATGAGTTTGAGCCCTACCGGTAAAATGGGTTAGCATATTGAAGAACCAATGTTTTGTTAAGGGAAAATTGCAGTTGGGATCCCAAACTTTTCAACTATACCCAAATGTTTCACTTGTTACACCCACGGATCCCAAACCTTTCATTCCGTTGCAGCTGTAGGATTTGACCATTAGTTGACCAAAAAACTAAAAAAAAAAAATGATTAATTTTGACCATTTCAAAGAAGGGTAAAATTTGAATTGGTCAGAATTGTAACTTAACATTTCTCCCATAAAAATTAAAATAAAAAAATAAAAAAAATACTATTCATCATCTTCCGAAACCCCGGCCAGACCACACCACATCCACCTATCCTCTCCCACCTGCCACCGCCACAGGCCATCTCGGAAATTTTCCTTAAAAAATTGAGAGAAGGGAAATATTTTAATTAGATTCTTATATAATCATAGGTCATAGCAAATCAAGAACTGCTACATACTTCCATCTGTTATCCAAACAATTGTTCATCATCTTTGCTTTCTCCTTTACTAGTCAGAACACTCGATGCCACAAAACTCTTCACATATTCCTAGATTCTACTTTTCGATCAAAGATCTGTAAGTTCTTAAATAAATTTCCTTCTTTTCTTAGCTTGGTTTAGTGTTTTTTTTTTTTTTTTTTTCTCTGTAATTTTTTGTTGATTTCTTGATAATATTTCAGTTTCTTTGTGGGTTCATTTTTTTTTTTTTTCTTGGATTGCTATAAAAATTCCTTTTCTGATCTTGAAGTAAAGCTTGATCTTTTTGACAAGTTGAAGCAACCCATTGAACCACTTGTGTACAAACTCAAAATATTTATTAAAACCAAGAATTGCATTGTCACTAGATTTTCTTCCCATTCACAACCTGTGTCAATTTTATTTGAAATTTTTGGATTTTTCTACAATTTAAACCTGAAAATAACAGTTTTGAAGTGGGTTATTTGAAAGATTTAAGAATTGGAAAGAGAGATGGAGATAGTGATCAAGATTTGAGTATAGAGATTCCATTTTGATGGAGGAAGAAAAATCAAGAAATTGTTTATGTTTCTTATAAGATTTTTTTAAATTGTGAAAAGGGATCTTCTAAGGGGAAGTTTGGATAGAGAGAGTTATGTTGTGATTCTTGAAATGAGCTCACATGAAGGTGGTAATGGTGGCGGCTGTTGGATTTGATTGGTGGTGGCCGGTGGGGTGGTTGCGGGGCTGGGGGATGGGACGGTTTGGGGAAGAAGAATAATAAAAAAGAATTTTGTTTATTTAATTATTTTATGAGACAAATGTAAACTTACAATTTTACCATTTTCTTAATTGGTCAAAATAAGTCAATTTTTAAATTTTTTGGTCAACTACCAATCAAATAGACGGCCAAGTTGCAACGAAATGAAAGATTTGAGATTGTAAGTGTAATAATTGAAAGGTTTAGATATAATCTGCAACTAAGTGAAAGGTTCGGGATCGCATCTACAATTTTCCCTTTTCTTAAAGATAATTCATCCCGTATACCAAACCATAATAGGGTGCTTCAGTTGCCGTATTCTGTTCTTATTCAAGTTTGCGTATAGTAGATTTGTATTCTTGAGGTTAGTCTTTCATTTTAGGATCAACATATTTATTTATTTGTTATGTGCCTTGGTTAAATAATTGGCGTATAGCAACTTAGAATTTTTGTGTGAATTTTATCTCTCCCAGTTATATAACATTGTTTCTTTGCCGAAGACGGAGGAGAGTTATGAACCTCAACATTGTGTTGTTTATCCTATTCGGTAGACTGATTCTCCACAACATTTTGTTCTGAATATTGTATTGCTTATTTTGCGCTTATCAAATGTGCAGATAATCGACAGCTAGTTGCAATTTTAAATCAGGCACTAGTTTCTCCTATTATTTTCCAGATTTATGATTTTTGGTTACAATAATGTCTTAATAGGTTTTCAAGTATTTTTGTAAAGATGTCACGGACGATGGATTGCTTCGGATGTTGCGGGTTATCAAAAAGGATTTAAAACCAGCTAGACGCCAGGATACAGATAGTGAAGATGAAGTAGATGCTGATGATGATATTCTTGCTATTGAAGAAGCAGAGGAATCTGATGTGGCTGAGACTGGCGAAACTGGTGAAAGTGATGAGCAAACAGATGATTCTGAGGCTGTAGTTGGATTTGGCACTGAAAACATGGAGATTACAGATGATTCTGATGATGATTCCGATGAGGGCATGGATGATGATGCAATGTTCAGGATGGATACTTATCTTGCACGGATTTTCAGGGAAAGGAAGAACCAAGCTGGAGGTGAAACTGCCCATTCTCAGCTTGTTCTCTTCAAGCTTCGAACTCTCTCTTTGCTGGAGATTTACTTACATGAAAATCCAGGCAAGTTTTGTATTGTCGAGTGTGTTTGTGATTCCTCAAAATTTCCTTGCATAAATATCAAAGCCTGGTGTCTGCATCATTTCCCTTTGCATTCCTTTTGGCCATTTGAACAATGTTATTCAATTTTACCAGACAAGTCCTCAAATTAAGTACGCGGTTAGATTTAATTACAAATTACATCGTGCATTTTGTGAACATACTTGTACTGGTTTTCTATGTTTCGACATTTTCCTATATGGGTGTCAAATATTTTGATTCTCTTCTTTCATAGGATATTCAGATTTTCTTTTATTCAGGTAAACCGCAGGTACTAAAAGTTTTCTTGCACCTTGCTCAAGCATTCGTAAATCCACATACCACAGAAGTTAGCGAACAGCTTGGCCAACGGATTTGGGGTATACTGCAAAAGAAAATATTTAAAGCGAAGGACTATCCGAGAGGCGAAGCTGTACAGCTTTCTTTTCTTGAATTGCTTTTGGAGAAGAACTTGAAGTTGGCAGCAAAGCCTTTTAAGAGGAAAAAATCTGCTTCCAATCCATCAAAGAAAAAGCAATCTGCCTCTTGGAACCGATACAAAATGATAAGTTCACTTGCTCAAAGCTCGACATTTTGGATTTTAAAGATCGTTGATGCGAGAAATTTTTCATACTCTGAACTACAGAGGATATTTGATATTTTTGAATCTGCATTAGTGGCCTATTTTGATAATAAAAAGTCGCAGATGAAATCTGATTTTTTAAAGGAAATATTTAAAAGACGACCTTGGATTGGGCATCACTTCTTTGGTTTTCTTTTGGAGAGATGCGGAAGTGCAAAACATCAGTTTCGACAAGTTGAAGCTCTTGAGTTGGTGACGGAGATTTTAAAGTCACTCCTCTCTTCTCATGCTGATGAAAGCGGGAAGAATGCATCAAAGATGTTAAAAAGCCATCTTCCAAAGATATGCCATCTAATCAAGCAGTTAGTGACCAACATGCCTGAAAAGCAGTCCAGACGAGCTGATGTGCGAAAGTTCTGTACTAAGATATTCCAAATTTTATCCGCTCATAATCTGAGCACATCGTTTCTTAAAGCTTTGGAGCCAGATGGTCATGCTGGTTGTGAATCTCAACTTGGAGAGACATTTCTTGCTTTGAAGAAGCAGGAACACTGATACATAGAAGCATCAGTCTGCTGGAAGCTGTATTCACGGGGCTAGTTTAGCTTCCATTTACTGCAAAGATTGAGAGGATGCCGGTTGGCATTACTTCCCCGAGGTAAGTTCGATGTGTTCCATTGACCTTAGAAACTGTTGTTTACTTGTCATAAACCACTTATTTGCAAGATGTTATAGAGTTTCCTTGTTCAATGTTAATTGTTTATTTCAGTCACTGGTCCATTCCAAGTTGTAGAACCATTCAATATTGAGCCAAACTAGTTAGTGTATTTACTTTTTCACCTCTGTATTGACTTCTATACTTGATCTTCGCTCACTTTTGCACGATTGATGCATGTTCCATTTGACAGTATTGAATACTAGTAGAATATGTATAAGCACTTTTTTTCCTTTTTGAAGTATTTTGTCCATTACTATCGAAATCTAAAAGGGAAAAAGGTGATGTGGAGTGGAAAGGCAACAGGATTTTCGCCATTCTTTTGGAAGAAAGTATGAAATGTCTGGGTTTACATATTCTATTACTGCATCCATATCGCAAGAAGCCTGTACAAGTCTCTTATATTTACTTAATATTCATGAAATATTGGACTTGGAATAGTTCTAAATTAGTTACAATATAAACAGATTATATATATAATTCAATAATAATTCACTCTGTTCTCCTCCAGTCCGTGTGATTTGAGTCCCAATGATACTGAAAGAATTTTGTTCAAATTCAATGAAATAAATTTCTAATCCCAGATGACAGGTCGAGTTTTTAGTATTTTACTATTTTTTTCTTCAAAGGGGAAAATCAAACCATAATAAGAGCGAGTCTTAAAGTCTTAAAGAATCTGGAAAAAATGGCCCATTTATTATTGCATCTTTGAAATGGATTCTGAATTCCACCAAACAACAGATGAAATTTGATGCGTACCAAAGTGCATAATTTGCCAGCTTGCTTGAATCAATTTACACCAGTACCAAGCAAGAAAGTTCTTATAGAGCAAGTGATGTTACGAGAAAATCAATCTTACTTTTGCTCTCTTCTTCTTCTTCTTGTATCCCACCAAAATCATGCCTGCCAACCTCTTTCATAAGCCACGTCTTGCTCCCCAACACTCGTATTAAAATTACAACAATTGAGTTCAGATCAAGATTGACCTAATTTTCTTTCAATTGCATCAATAACAAAAGGAACATATACAACATAATTACTGTACAACAGTATCTTAACTATATCTACACTGTAACCTTCCCTCCATTCCCTATACGCAAACCAACAACCTCCTTTTACTTCTAATGCAACTTCAATATCAACCAGATTCCCATAATTCCATTTTTAGCTTTCACAGGTTGGCATCTTTGCAATACTCTGCAGATTCCCATAATTCCATTTTTAGCTTTCACATATTGGCATCTTTGCAATACTCTGCAAAAGGCGGGTCGAAAATTTCAGCTCATCTATACAAGCAACACACATACAGATTGGAAATGGTAAAATGCTTACCTCAATTATGACCACTAATGTAGCAACCATTCTAAGGCAAAGTGCCATTTTTTATTTTTGATCGGTTAATACTCAAAATCTTTGCAAAATGGCATAACCAAGATGTCAGGACTGTGCATCGTCTGCATCAGAGTCACTACTTGAGGAACTCCCTGAATCAGAACCTGTAAAGAGAAGGAAGCTAGATATAATGAGCATTGTATTTATAGTGCCTTCCAATATCATAATTCCGAGCAACAAATTCCTCTAACAAAATTCAGAAATGCAAGAATTAGTACCACTGGAAGATGATGAATCACTACTGGAACTGCTAGAACTACTTGAGCTACTATTAACATTGCCTTGATCATGACCTCCACCTCCACCTCCACCACCACCCCCTTCATCCTTCTCGATCTCTACGGGAGGAAAGCTTGTCACAGGCATATCATCATCAATATCCACATCCTCGTCCTCATTCTTTTTCGGCTTCTTTCCCATGTCATTTCCCTCACTTAATTCGCCCTACAAAAATCAACACAGCATCATGAGTCCCAGTGCTAATCACACAATGCAGTAGATAACCATTTTGACATTGCACATTAGAAAAATATAAAATTGAATTAAGCATTACCATGTCATCCTCTGCATTGTTTGTGGTCGGGGCAGTAGGATTGTTATTCATCATCAATGCTTGCCGTTTAGTCTTACTCACCATTTTCTTCCAATTGGTCACAAACCGATCCAATTCCCAAAGAGTTTCAGTATCGAGGGCCTCAATGTCAAGCTCAATTTCATCACCATCTTGCCCCAAATGCGCATTCCTCTTCCTTACTATCTGAACCAATTGGGGCATCTTCTCCTGAGGCAAACTCTGCAACCCATTACCTAGCTTGTGCTTCTCCTCTACACTCATCGCCCTCTTATTTAGATCTTTTGCCCTTGGTTTTGGCTGCTTCACCGTCCCTACCCTCCCATCTTTCTCTTCCTTTGAAGGCAATGGAACACTGACAGGAGATGGAGTCTGGGCATGTACTGGAGGACTTGATGATGGTGGAGGGGGGACTGGAGGCACCAAAGAACTCGAAATATTTTTCACTTGCATTCTCTCCAGCTTCATCGGCTTCTTTGAAGCCCGAGGAGCTGGAACCAGGCTTGATGTTGGTTTACTTTTCTTTCCTCCTCTTCCTGGGGATGATGCCATAATCTGTTTACGATCAGTCCACTGACTCCCTTGCAATTCATCATTATCCCAAAATTCTCGAAGCTCCCTTTCTTTCCGTTGAGTATTATTCCTATCAAACTTCTCCAGAATTGGCCTAAACAATTCCTCGAACCTCACTAATAGCTGCTCCGCTATCCCGTTAACCTGGTCAGTTTTCGGATTATACAGTAAGGCATTATTAAAAGTCAGCCTCACATCGGCTGCAAATTCAGCAGGATGAGAATACAAATTCTTGGCCAGATTCGACTTCACTGTCCCCAGATCCATCGGCTGCTTCACAATTAGATGATAATCGTGAAGCCCCAAAGCAGCCGCATCAACAGGCTTGTTGAATATCCACCCGTTCTTGTGCTTCATCAATTTCGTCAAAATCTGCCTGCATTCTTTTAACATAGCCTCACAATCAATTGCGCTCACCACTCCTAAATTTCCACTATCAAGAAATCCATTGCAGAGATTCTTTGGATCCTTGTTGGATCCAACTGGGACTCCAGGACGTTTGTTACCAGATAATTTTTTCACTTTGCCTTGAGGCCCAGGATTGTTACTGCTACTGGTAAAGTTGAATTGACCTGAGTCAATTTGATTCCGCAGGTTCTGGATCTGTTCAAGCTCGGCAGCCAAGCGTTTACGGAGCTCTAAAAGCTCCGATTTTGTGTACGAGGCAAGATTGTAGGTTAGATACCCGCCGTGGTTGAATCCAATACTCGCCGACGCACTAGTCTGATTGAATGAATAAGCATCATCGGAAGCAGCCTGCGTTGCAGACGGAAAATCATCATTGTACGGGCCACCTCCATTACTGCTTGAATTGTGGAATTGCTTTTGCTTTTTCTTTGAGTTAGGGTTAGGGTTTGAATTCAAGTGAGAATTTGAGTACGGAATTTTTCCCCATATGCGCCCAGCTCGATTCATTCTGACTAGCAAAGACGGCATAAGCCATGAATATCACCGGCGGGGCTCACCTCAGCTCCGGCGAATCTCCGATCCAAAAACATGTATATACAACTGAATTTTCACTTTACGATCACGTACTCGACGGAATCTTTCAAAAAAAATTCCGATCACCGGCCAGCGATATTTTATAGAAAAATTAAGAAAGGGCAGTATTTATGATTGGTATGGGTTTGAAGGAACTGAGCGAGGAAGTGAAGAACAGGTCTAGGCTTCTTAAAGGAAATGAGATCTGCCCGTGACAAATACGGGCAGGATCTGAACCTTTGATTAATATGTTCTGTTGATCGAAGGGTTGTAATAAATCAGTTTGCTGGCTTTAGGGTTGACCGTCACATCTGGCATGAACGGTGAAGATGAGACTTTTCGGGTACGTGGCGAAATCTTGATCGTGGATGAGGGTGTCCTCTTGGAAATGCAATTCTAGGTCGGGAATTTTAGGGTTTTGGGGGACGCGTATGACGTGGGATGGCAAAAACCGTAAATTTTGAAGAATTTCGAGTTCGCATGTGAAAGAAGGTGGTGACGTGTCAGAAAGATCCGTCAAACTATGGGACGAAGTCACGAACGTTAGAGCCGACTTTGTCTTTTTAAAATTACACTATTGCCCTCACAACGGTAATTTTAGGAAAAATTGGCCACCTTGAGCTTGTTTGGTGGAAATTTTAATCTAATTAAAATCAATTTTTTGATTATTATTTTATTATTTCAATCGTCATTTTTAAATTATTCTTTTATTGGTAGGATCCACTTTATTTCTAACGATCAAAAAATCAATTATCAAAATTCCTACCAAACAAATACTTTATTGTTTCCATCTAATTATATGAATAAAACTGATTTGCCCGAAAATTTTGATACTTCAATTGATCAATCCTCACATTGCGCGTGGATCTCGGGTGAATTAAAAAATGCTGATCCCCCATGTATGTGTGTTTGATTATTCCTTATGTCATCCCCTACGTTCGAGTAACAAAACTCCTAATTATATTAATATATTATTGTGTTCTTAAATCTAGAAAGATATTTTATCTACACTCTACTTGAGATTTTTGGATATGAAAATACCACAATCATCATTGACACTTAAAAGTTGAATAATGTTACTTGTTGATAATGGAATTTATTATGATTCTTATGACCATAGTTACTCTGTAAATTCAGCACATGGGGAGGATAAATGGAACAGGTTGAAAGTTGTTGCAAAATAGAATTTTCCTCTACCCCTTCCCCTCGTTGGAATCTCTCCGTTCTATCTTTTATTTCTCTAAATTTGCTCTCTTCTACTTCCATCTCTCTTCTTATTTGATTTCCCCTCCCTTTTTATTTACATTTCACTAATTCAATGTATTTTCATTTCAATTAATAGAGTTATAGCTTAGGTTATTGATTTCCAGCTGATTGCAATTGCGTGTTGAATTTGGATTGAATTTGATTGATTTTGGTTGAAGTTGAGCTCCAACCATGGCAAATGGTATTAGAGCAGTGATGTCATTTGGGTATAGTTGAAACTAGAAACGAAGAACACATTAAGAGGTTAGACAAAGAAATATCAAATTTGGATGGACTTCAACTCATTTGATCAAAAGCTAAAAATGGTACGAACAGAGCAAGACATGATTGAACAGATAATGGAAGAAATTAATAGGAAGCATGAGTTGGTGATTTCAATGTTAATTGAAATCTTTGAGGATCAGTTCAAGCATTACAAATGTGCTGATATGGATAGAGATTAAATGGTGTATACG